CAGAATGGGCAGTCAAAAAACTTAAGAAGCTTTCTTAAAAAAAAGAAAAAGAAAAACTCACCGCTGCACTGAATTTTTGGTCAAAGAGACCGCGGGAACTACGATCGATTGCCGACTAGATTTATGAGATGACCGTCGAGCAAACGACTCTAAACGTAGAGGTGACGAAAAAATGAGGACAGCTGCGTTAAGTGACTCATCCGAAAGAACAACCGTCACGAAGAAAAGATCCATTTTTTCAGACAAGTATTTCTCGGGCCATTCGAATGCGTTTCACATGAGCGTGATCAGAACCAGCTCGCTTCAGAATTTCTCTCGATTTAGTTGAAACTACAAATTACAAACTCAACCGCACTGCTCCAAACCAGTCAAAAATTGCTCGAGAACTTGCATTGCATTGTTCAAGAGCTCCGTCAATCTTTCTCACGTCAATCTGCATATTTATGAACTTTGAAGTCATATTTGACTCTTACGACTTTCCAGCAATTCTTTTACCGATCAGTAAAATAAAATGGAAGCACACAACCAGGTTACCGCAGATTCCAGATTCTGTGTCAGACAGTACTCAACATCGGCCCTAAAATACTCGAGGGAGGGACCAGTTGGCGACGGTCCTACATTACTTCCAAGATAGTGTTACAGGAGAAGAATAGTTAGCAGAGAGCCTTGCTCAGGTAGAGGAACACAGAGGTACTGTCGATTAGTCCCCCTTCCCCACCTGCGTCACCCACAACTTCTCCAATAATGACTCTCTTCTGACTAGCTGGTGAGCCACTTACTCGCGCTTGAAGGCAGCGGGCACGATTGCAGAGGGTGGGCGGTTGTCGCCAACGTCATTGGTGGAAGGGTTGAGTGGGATGTGACCAAAAAGCCCTCTCCACCAATGACGCTGGAAACAACCGCCCGCCCCAGGCGATCGTGCCCATACCGCCTACTTCTTTTTTCACTGCGAACGCTGAAACGTTTCAGGGGGGGGGGGGAGCTGAATTTAGCGCGACCCTATACTCCATCATTGTGGAGGCTGGAGGACTGGGGAGAAAAGCCTAACGGCCCGCCAAACCCAGTTCCCACCTTGAAAAGCATCAGCATCCTTAACGAACAAGACCGTAGCCCGGGAAAAAACCCTCGGGTAGGTGAAGTGGTTCATTTGCCGCTTATCCCCTGGCCTGGGCAGCAACAATCATCCCCTGACTCGTAATCGTTTCTTCGCACCAACTAGCACCAAGTACTGCTTAGGACAAAAAAAAACTGAGGAAATGACGTCAAAGTGGAGCTTAAAGGCTAAAAACTGTGCGAAATTATGAATGGCGCAGTCTGAAAAAACTATGTGTCAAACCCCCACACATTCGACTAGTTTCAACGACATTCGTGACTGAAAAACTCCATAATGTTATGTTACGCCAATTGCACGATAATTATTGTTCGGTTAATTGCACGATCGGCCCCATGCAAACTTGGAAAAGGTTGGCATTCAGTCGCGGGAAGGGGCGCTACTAAACCAGAAGAGCAGCTTCTGTCACAGAGGGGAACAATAAGGACAACTGACGGATGGGTTGTTTCGGAGCATCATGAATGCGATTAATAATTAGCCCATAACTCCATTGGTAACGGCAACGTCTAAATGAAGGAGCGGTGAATTGATTCACCCTCAGCGAAAGAAGTTAATCATCGATACAAAATGACGTTTGCCAAATTCCATACAATCGAGAGAAATTCCTTCGAATC